ACTTTGGGCCAGTTCTTTTCTCTTAGCCCAACCCATCTCACAGTATTGTTGTGGGGAAGACAGGAGAAAGGAAGGAGTATTAGGTATGTTTGCTGCCTTGACTTACTTATAAGGTAAAAAAAAGGGGGGGATAAAAACCAAATAAATAAGGAAATAAGCAAGCAAGCAATTTCTCCATTCCCGTTACAAGGAACTTAGGAAACTGGGCTCAACCAAATTGAGTCCTAGACTCTGGTTGCAACATATGACCATTGTGTGACAAATATTCAGCACTTTAACTCTGGTGTGAGAACCTCAGCGAAAAACTCAAAGTAGGTTTGTAAAGAAGAAGACAAAAACGTTCAAGCCACAAGGCTTGTTCTTTTAATTGTCTGCAAAACATGGCAATTTTCACTCCCCCCGCCCCCCAGGGGCTATTTCTTTGCTTTTCCAGAACTCCCAAATCCTCAGCTGGCCTTGTCCAAGGACAGCCCGATTTGCCCAGTCCCTGGACCTGAAGGTTAACTTCTAGGAAGAGAGATCAAAGACACCCGTACGGCACTGCCGAAGGCTAAAGCGACAAGGCTCCACACAAGAGAAAAAACCGCTCACCTTTTTCCCCCTGCCTGTTCAAGTGCAAGAGAGGGACAACGGCTTGATACTGAGGTCCCACCATGATCTCCTGAAGGGGGTGGAAAAGTAAAATGCGTAGGTGTTATAAGCGGAAGGACATCATCTTTGAGGATGGAGTGGCTAAATTCCATCTGCAAAAGGGATAGGTACAGGTAAAGGTTCCCCGTGCATATACGTGCTAGTCGTTTCCAGCTCGAGGGGGCGCTGCTCATCTCCATTACAAAGCCGAAGAAGAGCCAGCGCTGTCCGATGACGTCTCCGCGGTCGTGTGGCCGGCACGACTAAACGCCGAAGGCGCACGGAACTCTCTTCCCTTCCCACCAAAGGGGTCCTTTTTTTTCTACTTGGCATTTTTTTACGTGCTTTCGAACTGCTAGGTTGGCAGAAGCCCGGACAAGGAACGGGAGCTCACTCCGTTTACGCTGTGCTGGGGATTCGAACTGCCGAACTGCCGACCTTTCCGATCGACAAGATCAGCGCCTCAGCCACAAGGGAGACACATTTCCTTTAACTGGAATCTCTTCCTGAGAAGCTTCAGTGGTGCAGGGAATCCTCAACTTACAATCACAACCGAGCCCCAAATTTCTGTGGCTGAGCAAGACGGTTGTTAAACAAACCTTGTCCCATTTTAGGACCTCTGCTGCCACAGCTGTTACATAAATCACTGCAGTGGTTAAGTTGTTACAAAAAAGAGGTTGAGACTCTAGAAAAAGGGCAGAGAAGATCAATCAGGATGATGAGGGGACTGAAGGCTAAAACATAGGAAGAACAGTTGCAGGAACTGGGCTTGGCTAGTCTAGGGAAGAGAAGGACCAGGGGAGACAGGATAGCAGCCTTCCAATATTTGAGGGGCTGCCACAGAGAGGAGCAAGGGGTCAAGCTGTTTTCTCAAGTGCCTGTAGGCCAGACAAGGAATAATGGATGGAAACTGATCCAGGAGAGATTCAACCTGGAAATAAGGAGAAACTTTCTGACAGTGAGAACAATCAACCCATGGAACAGAAATTGCCCTCGGAAGTTGTGGGAGCGCCATCACTTGAGGCTTTGAAGAAGAGGTTGGACTGCCATTTGTCAGAAATGGTGTAGGGTCTTCCTGCTCGGGCGGGGGGTTGGACTAGATGACCTACAAGGTCCCTTCCAACTCTGATTATCTGTTATCTGAATCATGTCGTTTTTAAACGAATCAGGGGTCAGCCCTGAAGTTGGCCTAACTGCAGCCATTTTCTGCCCTGCAGCCTTTCCTATGAGAGTTTAGTTTTCACATTGCTTCGGGGCTGACACAGACTGGCGCTGAGGGGGCAGGGATTGGGAGCGGGTATAGAGATACCTGGGGTGCTGTACCCAAAATCAAATTCTTTCCCCTGGGAATCAAGGACATTTCTGCAGGTGTTCAGAAGGTGGAGACTGAGGTCACCTAGCAACTGGACTGTAAGCTGATTGGATCATGTGACTGACGACTTTGGGGAGGGGGAGAGACTGTTATGGCCTGTCAGCTGCCAGCATAGCTGGCGGCAGAATTGGATGATGAGGGGATTGGGGTGGAACTTGGGCCAGTTCTGGAGTCTGGGGAAGGCTCTGATGGGTGCTCTGTCTCGGACGCAGAGATAGAGCCAGGACCATCTGGCATTTCCCAGCCACCGGAGAGGCAGTTGCCTTCGAAGGCTGATATGAGTGAGGAGGAAGAACAGCTGAGGCCTGTTCCAGACAGACGTATGCACAGAGCTGTTAGGAGAGGGGAACAACGAAGGTCAGGGAGTCGACTCAGGAAGCAAAGCACACGTGGACCCTGAATGGCCCTTCCCTGGCTGGGGGAATAAAGAAAGAAAGGGGAGTAGTTGTCGTAGGAGACAACAGTTCAAAGATTTCGCTCATAGCGCTTCGTGCCAAAGAGACTGCTTGCCAGAACTTAATTTGCAGCCTTTCAGCTGGGAGCTCAGGGCCTTGCAATTATTGCAAGGAACTTGTTAGGAATATGAGTCACCTAACAGCTATTTGGGTTAGAAATATATAAACCAGGATAAACATTTTAAAACTGTAACTTTAAGAAAATGAAAAAGTGTAATTAGGTATGGTTTCTCAAACAGCCATAAGATGGAGCCAGAAACCTGGGTTGTTTTAGTCTTAGTCTCAGAAGAGAGTGTGTCTGAGTGAGTATCTCTGTTTCCTTCTGTTGGAAAGTATTGCCGTTGCTCCATTTCTTCTAATTGACTGATATTACTGGATTTAATGTAAGTCTGTTACTGAACTGTTTTTGACACTGGACTTTGATATTTGGATTATCCCTGGATTAAAAACTGACTGATTTACCTGTGAATGACTTTGGACTGCTTATTTTGGACTTTGCTTAAACCTTTCTGGAAGTAAAAACCTACATTTACTGTACAGTGTATCTGTGTACGGTGTGTGTATTATTCAAACACTTCTCTCAAATACGTCTCCCTGCATGCGTTCATTCTCCTAACGGGGAATTACCTCAACAGAACTGATAAGGTCTGTTGCTGGCGTTCACTCTTTGAAGGACTATTGTCTGGACTTTTCGGTGGGTGAATGCCAATTCATTCACAAGAGGTAAATTAAAGAGGGGTTTTCCGTGGCAAGGAGTCTGTCTCTTACTTCTGCTAAGGCTGGGTCAGAGCAGAGACAAACTTTTATTTTAATTGGGTGCGGAACCGGTGGGAACTTAAGAGCTAGTTTTCCATCAAGCTTGTGCCAATATGATATGTCCTGATGAACTGTTCTTGAGTCAGAGTTCTTAATTGCTGGGGAGGGATTACTTGAAACCTTGACATCTGGCTTCTCCCACTGATTTGGCTTGTCGGAAGCCGGCTGGGAAGGTCGCAAATGTTGATCTCGTGACCACGGGGCAGTACAACTGTCATAAATACATGCCAGTTGCCAAGCTTGGATCACGTGACCACGAGGATGCTGCAACGGTCATAAGAGTGAAAAACGGCCCTGTCATGTTTTCAATGCTGTTGTAACGTCGAACAGTCACTAAGTGAATGGTTGTAAGTTGAGGACTATCTGTAGTCTAAATCAACAGTCGCCAACCGGTGGGCCGTGACACACTGGTGGGCCCCGAGAAAATTTTGGTGGGCTGCAGAGAAATCTCACCCCCAGAGCACCCCCCTAAACCAATTAAAACAGGCTGCGCAGAAACACAAGGCTGCGCCGCCCACATGGCCCACAGGAACCCTCCCCGCCCACTCACTCTTTACCCGGCGACCGCTGGACTAGATGACCTACAAGGCCCCTTCCAACTCTGATTATCTGTTGCCTGGTAACTCCACCTCTAGGCCACCACACCCCTCAGGCAGCTGTGCTAAGGAGGGATGACAATTATGGGATGCCAAAGCCTTACCTTCTTGCAGTCATTAGCAGCGATGGAATCTTCTTCCGAGTCTTCAGCGGAGAAGGAAGCACAAGGGGAGGAACAAGGAGCCTTGTCTCCATCTGCCACAAAATTAGCTTGAGGGGAAAAAAAAGACAAGATAACCTTTTTCTGCTTTAAATTGAGAAAATTGTTATTTTTTTAGTGGGGTTTTCCCTGGTGATCTCTGAGCTTGGTTGCTTTTTTTTGGGGGGGGGGCAGATGTTTCATGACTCAACGAGATAACATCATCAATGCTACAAGCGAATGGGGTTTGCTGAGAGCACGGGAGCTGAGAACCAATCCTACTGCCTTCCGGCACCGATGATCTTACCTAGTTGGGTTATGAAACGTCTGCAAGAAAACAACCTAGCTCAGAGACCTCCAAGGACCACACAGTTCAGCCCTGGGCTACACATTTTTCTTCTTCTTCTAAAGTTGGTTTTGTCAACAATAAAGCAGAGGACACTTAACAACTGTTCTAAAGCAGATTAAGACAATTTGAAGCCCAACTGGGTAATTATTTTGTCTACCAATGAAGTCACAAATATCAACTCTCTTTGGGTCGATCTTATCTCTGTTTTTTTATCTTGATTTAGTCAGTGTGTAACTTGATGTTCCTTCCAATGCTTTCGCCATTGACTCTGTAACAGTTCTATAGCTATTCTATAGCTAACTATTTTTGTACACAGTTTTTTATGTTTTTATATTTTACTTGCAGATTGCTCACAGAGTTGCTCTGTGAAGGAAATGGGCTGTTTCTAAGACACACACACAAAACATGCATACACACGAAATTGTAAGCAGCTGTAATATTTTCAGCTACATCCCAGAATATAGAATATTCTATACATAGACAGAATAAACACTTATAAAAAGATGAAGAAGTAGATATCCAAAGTGTTCATCGTTTTACTTTCATAAAAAAAAAGAGTATACGTCCCTCTTTTAAAGCTTCCTCAACCTTAAATTTGCACATTGTAATTTTGGACTTCCCATCCAATTGGCACGCTGGCTGGATATTCCTTGAAAAAGTGTTCCAACTCTCATTCAGAAAAGGTGAGAAAAAACCAGCTGCATTACCTTGTCGGTGCCATTTCTGTAAGCGTTCTGCACCTGGTTTACTTTCTTTCTATTATCTCTCATCCCTTAAAACATCTATAGGAGCACTTGGTTTGAAGCCTGCGTATTACAGGTCTTTTCTCTCCAACATACAGGAAGTCCTCAACTTACAACAGTTCTTTTAGTGACCATTCGAAGTTACAATGGAGCTGAAAAAAAAAGGACTTATGGACGTTTTCCATACTTATGTCCATCACAGCACCCCCATGGTCACATGATCAAAATTCAACTGCTTGACAACTGGTTCATATTTATGACGGTTGAAGTATCCTGCGGTCATGTGATCCCCTTTGGTGACCTTCTGACAAGCAAATTCAACGGGGAAACCAGATTCACTTACCAGTGGCCCCCAACCTTTTTTGTGCCACGGCCCGGTACCGGCATCACAAAATTATCCGCAGCCCGGTACCGGCATCAGCACGCATGACAAGGCAAGGCAAACCGAGCGACCGGCCAGCCAGCCGTCCCCCGCCACCTTCAACTCCTCCTTTGTACCTTTTCTGTGCTTTTTTGTGCTTTCTTAATCTCCTCCGCCATCGGGACGGCTCTTCGTTCGAAGCCGCCCCCCTGCTTCGATGAAACTAAGGCGTGAGGATTCCTTCAGGACCCAAACGCCACTTTCCAACCAGAAAAGCTCACCCGGAAGCACTTTCTCGTCGAAACAAGATGGCGGCGCCCAGCAAACTGGCGGCCCAGTAGAAAATGATCCACGGACCGATAGCGGTCCGGGGCCCAGCGGTTGGGGACCCCTGCACTTAACAACCAGGTTACTACCTTAACAGTTGCAGTGATTCATTTAACAATTGCGGCAAGAAAGTTTTGCTTCTCATCCAAGGAGCTTCTTCAACTCTGACTGGATGGTGGACAATGGAGGGATTTATATTCCTGGCAGACAGCTGGCCATTTGCATCCTTTTAGAGAAACATTTTTTTAATAAGAATTTTTTTATTTTGACAACAAACATAGAGAAAACACAAACACAAAACATATAATAAAACCATCTTTTCACTGTACAGTGTGTTGGTTGGTACATATCTGTTGTGCACAATGTTAACAGTCTTTCCCTTCTAAACTTGAATTAAAATTCATATTACGTAAATCAGCTATCCATATCTTATTATATTGTTATCAAACCATTATTAGACTTTGATTGTAAGTTCATATCATCCTTTTCGAGCAAATATCTAGTTTTTACAATGTCTAGTTCATATCATTCATTTCACAATAATCAAATATAACATATCATTTCAATACATCATCTTTACTATTATATCTATATTGCAATATATTTTATTTCTCTGTTTTCTTATCTAGCCATTGATAAAATAAATCCCGTATTTTATAATACTCTTTTTCCTCTTTTAGAGAAACACTGAGGCCACTTGGAGGTTTATCAGGGTCTTCAGGGTCACCTGAGTGGTGTAAATACTAGTGTAAAGTAGTGCAAATAGGTGTGGTGCCTTCTTGGAATGGCTGAAAGGTGTTGTAAACAGGACATATATGATATTGTATCCCTCCTTCTCTGTTGAGCGAGGGATGTTCAGTTTTGACACAGACGGCCTCTTTGACCCCTCTTTCAAACCAACCTCCAAGTGGCCCCAACCACTTTCTAAAAGGATGCAAATGACCAGGTGACTGAAAAAAAAAAAAATTCTTCCCCCCCCCCCCCCCCCCGCCCCCAATCCACTCGGAGCTGAAGCAGATTCTTGGATGCGAAGTGAAAAACGACCTCCAAGAAAAAAACTACAGAAAGTCCACTTGCCTCCTGAAAAAAGAGAAAACCTTTGTAACGTGTCAAATGTTCATGTTAAAAAAAAAAAAAAGTCACAGTTGAAAGAAAAAAAAACAACCCAAAAAAATAAAAGTTGGTGGAGAGATTTTTTTTCTTGGGCTGAAGTAGAAAACCGAGGCGCGCTGGAGACGTAGAAGGTGATTAATCCCAGGAAAGGCAGAAGTGGCCAATTTGGGCGAGACCGTGAAGGGTTGAGGATATCTCTATGACAACAGGGATCAGAAGAGTGAAAGCAGTGGGTCTTCCTAGGAGCGACGCATGCCTGCAAAAGCTGGACGTTTAAGAAAGAATTAGAGGAGGAAGAAGGCAGGCATCTCTGAATTATGGATCTGAAGATGGTTACTAAGTTACCATGGACTGCAAGAGGAGTCAATCAATTGGGCCAAGAGAAAATAAAGGCTGACCGCTATCCTGAGATGATTAGCAAGCGGAATCTCACCTATTATGGACACGTGATGGGAACAAATAACAGAAAAGTCGGAAGGGACCTTGGAGGTCTTCTGGTCCAATTGCCTGCTCAGCAAGGAGAACCTATGTACCATTTCAGACAAAAGGTTGTCCGATCTCTTCTTAAAAACCTCCCGCGTTGGAGCCCCCACCACTTCCGGAGGCAAGCCATCCCACTGAGGAGTTGTGCTAATGTCACGAAATTTCTCCAGAGTCCCAGGTTGCTTCTCTCCCTGGTAGGTTTCCATCCGTTGCTCCTTCAGGTGCTTCGGAACAGGGGTCTCCAACCTTGGCAACTTTAGGACTTGTGGACTTCCAACTACCAGAATTCCTCAGCCGGCAAGCCACACCTTGAAGAGTCCACAAGTCTTAAAAAGTTGCTAAGGTCGGAGACCCCTGCTTTGGAGAATAGGATGTGTCCCCCCGCCTCTTCTTTTTGGCAGCCCCTTAGATATTGGGTGGGTTAGGAAAATACAGTGGCGATTAGCATGCTTGAATGGAGGAGAAAGAAGGGCAAGGCACTAAACAACAAATATTTTCTTGAAAGCTTCCAGGGATGACGCTCCCACAACTTCTGAAGGCAACTTCTGTTCCATGGGTTGATTGTTCTCCCTGTCAGAAAGTTTCTCCTTATTTCCAGGTTAAATCTCTCCTTATTCAGTTTCCATCCATTATTCCTTGTCTGGCCTACAGGGTCTTTAGAAAATAGCTTGACCCCTCTTCCTCTCTCTGGCAGACCCTCAAATATTGGAAGACCGCTGTCATGTCTCCTGTGGTCCTTCTCTTCACTAGACTAGCCAGGCCCAGTTCCTGTAACTGTTCTTCATATGTTTTAGTCTCCAGTCCCCTAATCATCCTGGTTGCTCTTCTCTGCACTCTTTCCAGAGTCTCAACATCTATAGTGTGGTGACCAAAACTGGATGGAATATTCCAGGTGTGGTCTTGCCAAGGCTTTACAGAGTAGTATTAGTACCTCACATGATCTTGATTTAATCCCTCTGCTAATGCAATTTAGGATTGCCTGGGCGTTTTTGGCTGACACCGCACAATGTTGGCTCATATTTAACTGGTTTAACTGGTTGTCCACTAAGATTCCAAGATCCCTCTCACAGTTACAACTATTAAGTCTACAATCTACATGTGCACTTGGATGAAGAAGATCAGAGATATCTCTGGAATGTCTTTCTGTGGTTGAGTGAGACAGTTAAGTCAGTTTTGCGACGTGTCTTGACAGGGTTGTTAAGTGAATCACTGCAGTTGGTAAGTGAGTAACCAAGTTGTTAAGTGAATTTGGCTTCCCCCATTGACTGCTTGTTAGAAGGCCGCCAAGTGAGATTACCTGACCCCAGGACACTGCAACCATCATAAATATGAGTCAGTTACCAAGCCCCCTAATTTTGCTCAAGTAACCATGGGGATGTTGCAGCGGTCATAACTGTGAATAACGGTCATAAGTCACTTTTTTCAGTGCTGTTGTAACTTTGAACGGTCACTAAATGAACTGTTGTAAGTCGAGGGCAACCTGTAGACAGCTGGAACAATCTCTGAGCCTGTTAAATAAGCTGTATGAATAAGGCCAGTATGAGCAGTCCTCGACCTACGACCACAAAATTTCTGTTGCTAAGCAAAGTACTGCACTTGTTAAGTGAGTTTCGCCTGATTTTATGACCAATTTTGATGTCCTTAACCCAGATACATCGCAGCAAATTACTGAAGTTGTTAAGTGAATCACACGGTCATTAAGCTAATCCAACTTCTCCCATTGACTTTGCTGGATGGAAGTGGGCAGGGCAAGTTGCAAATAGTGATCACGTGTCCCCTGGGATGTTGCCACCGTCATAAATGTCTATGGAGATTCTCAGCCATCCAGGTCATGGATAGAATTGAATAGGAATAGAAATAGAATGGAATGGAACAGAATATTGAAAACAGAACAGAACAGAACAGAATATAGAGAACAGAATAGGAATAGGAATAGAATAGTGTTAGGTATAACATTGATACCAAATATGGTTTGGGTGAATAAATAT